TTGATGAAAGAGCTTGTTGGTTTCTGTTGAATTTCTCCGTGAGGTGTCACGGTCTAGGCTCGGGGAAAATTAACGCTTGACGAGTGGTATGGACAATGAAAAATCATAGTTTGACTTCCAAAATGTCTTCCTTGGTTTGCTGTTCTTCGGTTATTGTCTCAATCTTTTAATTTTATTTGAAAAATGCAGTTTATGATTGATTAACTGTTGTTCGGTGGTAAAAATTTATGAATATAAAGAGGAAAACATCGTTATCTGTTATGAAAAGAGATATATCGGCGAGGTCATCCTCGTGGTATTGAAAATCAGGCATTGTTCTTACAAAGAGTTTTTGGATTCCCGTCCGAATCGTCGAATCAAACCAAAGAAATTAAAATTGGTATTTATTGCTTTTCCGCTAGACATGGATCATTCAGGAATAAGAGCAAAGACTGGTACGCCCGGAGTCCGAATAATGGGTAGGATGACATGTCTGTCTGTGGATTGTTGTCTTGCAAAAATCCTCAGCGTGTCTGTTTAGTACAAAGCAGGGTTCTTATTCATATCACATTTACATATTCTTGGCCAAAATACGCATATATAATTTGCCGCTGGACGTTAAGCATCTACCATCTTCATCCACGGACACTTACCAAATTTACACATGAATGGTGCAAACAGCATGTGCATAGTTGCATCATGCATGATACGTTTATAGTTAGTATTATAATATGTTATAATGTATCTAAATGAAACTTTGTCATGAATATGCATGAAATATTTGTCACTGGCCGTTCAGTATACAATCAGTAATCAATCCAAATATGAGTGACAATTCGGTGTACATTGCACGAGGTTTTGCAGTTAGCAATGCACAAATTAAATGTACTCACTGTTACACCAATGTCTCAGGATAGGGGAGGTTTGATCGTTTAAAAACATGTAAATCTCGCCACGTTTTTTATGTGCCGTCCCAAGTCAGGAGCCTGTAGTTCAGTGGTTGTCGTCGGTTTATGTCTGTTATATTTGTTTATCGTAAATTGTTGTAAGTTAGGCCATTATTTTAATTTCTCATTTGAATTGTTTCACATTTTTCATGTAAGGGCCTTTTATAGCCGACTATATATACAGTCTGTTTTTTTTCTCATTGTTGAAAGCCGTACGGTTGCCTATAATTACTTACATCCACTTCATTTGAACTTTGGTGGATAGTTGTCTCATTGGCAATTATACCACATCTTGTTTTCATATGGATAATGTCATATTTTGCACGATAATCTAACTATAAAACGAATGATTATAAATAAATTCAAATTTTGACTTACCTCCTTCATGTTGCCCCATAACCAATGTGGGATCGGACCAGGGAAATCCTTCAATGCTCTCTGTAGTTCTTTCTTCTTTTGGTATAATCCATACAGTTTCTTTATTATGAATAGTATTATGAAGACCGGTATAAATTTCAACAAAGTCAGTGTTAAGGTAGCCATTTTAACCTTTATCTTTTTATTATCTTTAAGTTCGTTAATGCGACGATAAAGTCATTTTGATAAACTTGTGGCCATCGTAGATATTTAGACATCTTTCGAAGGCTAGTTTATGAATACTTTTAAAAATACTGTTATATAACTATGATTTGGTCTGGTGAACTTACTTTACCTGTACACCAATATAGCTTGCGAGAAACAAAAGGCAAATATAGGTATTTTTTTCATGAACTGCATGATTGAAGGTGCAAAGCCGGTTACGGTCAGTTTGAATGCGTTTAGTTTTTAAGAGATGGGGTAGGAGGGATTGATTGAGGGTAAGGTAATCACGTTACCGGTACTAACAAGGGCCCACGAAGGACAAGAAGTTTATTACAATGATTTATATTATGGAAGACAAATATGACTTCGGGCACTGTTTTGGCCTCCAGGCTTTGAAGTGTCAGACCACCAATTCACCCACTCATATTTCGAACATCATGAAAAAGTAGCCCTACTCTGACAAAAAAATAATGTTTTGATGTAATTATTTACTTAAACTAACAAACACATTTGAAGAAATGAAGCTTTTGGTGAAAGAGAAATATATTTAAACCAAAATATTCTATTGCATCATAGCCACGCAGACTAAGAAATATTACTTCTTCAGAGAACGAAATATTCCGAGAGACAATACAATCCAATACGGGTTCCCGTAAAACAGAAAATTAATACATAATTAAATGATAAAAGTGTGATTCCAAACAAAGTCAGATGTACAATTACTGTTGTCCCGGGCTTTGAAGATACAATTCTACATACCCCATTCTACATAGCCTGAAAGATCAAATGAAAAATAAACAGACTAGCGATAATTTTACTGATTTTATCTTTATTTTTTTTTATTGATAATTAAGTATTAAGGCTTCCTAATTCCAACTGTGACTATTTTGGTAATTCTTTTAAGGCAAGACTTTCCTATCCTTGAGACATAGTCAATTCAATCGTACAAATAAACTCAGGGTTACAATTTTGTACGCCAGTCGCGCGTTTCGTCTACAAGACTCTTCATTAACGCTCGAATAAAAAAAGTTAAAAAGGAAGAAGAAACTACGAATTTGAAGAACATCGATGACCCAAAATTCCGAAGTGTTTTGTCAAATACAGCTAAGGTAATCTATTCATGGGTTAGAAAATCCTTAGTAAACCTCAGCTGGAAATGTGACACTGGACCAAAGAAGAACCATGGCCGATGTCACCCTCGTGTGTAAAGTAGTCAACAAACTAATAGCTATATCAGTACTCTATATTCCAATACCAGCTACGCTAATACGAACTAGAAACAGAAACATGTGCAATTTGAAATTCCTATTATACCACTGCAAAATTAACATATACCAACATTCGTTTTTCCTATCTAGAACAATTACCATCTGGAAAACACTGTCAGAATCGGTTGTGCTCGCACCATCACTGCATGATGTAGGCCTTCAAATCATCCCTCCAGGAGCACCATCCAAGGAGAATCAACATCAATTAACTATCCTGAACTTTTGTACACTGTATATACATATTATATTTTTAATCACAGGAGCTAACTTCTTAATGGTTTGTTAGTGCACATCACGCACAAAACTCACATGCACACAACTCCTCATTAGTAGATGTCCAGCATGGATTTTGACGAATAATGAAGTTGAAGTGTTCTGCGCGAGTCTACAAATTTATATCGTCTTTCTTATCTCACTGAACACTGCATGATGTGTGTTTCTTTGACAATCAATACCTCATGCTTAAATTTCCCACTGATTTTGAGATATTCGGACTTGAGTTTGTGTATTTCAAAAATCGAATGTTGTTTTGAATCTGTCTTTTTTAGTGAATGTGAATAATGGCATAAGGAATCGAAATTCAAAGCACAAATAAGGTTTCAATTTGATCGTTTTGAATCTAATAATGAGAAGTTGAGAAACTAATCGCCGTGCACTTAAATTAAATTTTCAATGATACTCAAGTTCTTGTGATAATGTTCTGTTCAAAATTGTACACACAGTCAGGTCTATAATAAAATAAAAACTATATGATGTATATTTATCACAAACCTTGCATGGTAATTATTTGATATTGAATAAATAGGTATTGACGGAACAAACCTGAACAAACCATCTTGATTAAGCTAAAGCACTTAACAACCAGTTTTACCAAGCATTTACTACACCCAAACTTTAAAATTACAGTCACACATTTGTTAAAAAAATCATTAAAATGCATAGAACACAATTTTGAAATGAAGCAAACCAAAATCACTTCAGAAGGAATACCCAAATTACTTAAAAAGATAAAACCCAACTAAAGCAATTGTTTCAGACAAGATATCACCGCGTTTCTTAAAAGAAGTACATCATGAAATTTCACCTGTGATATATCTGACTAATGTATAAATCATCAGTCAATACAGTCACAGTACCAAACGACCGGAGAGATGCCATTGTTACACCTGTATTCAAAAAGGAGGTAAAATCTAAATCCGAAGACTATAATATATGCCAATCTCTCTGACCTGTATTCTTCGTTTTGTGCGGGTTCAAGAATTAAAGATAAATATTTTTATAAAGTAGGTTATCTGTTAAAAGATTTTTACTATTTTTGTAGTCGTCTCGATTTCTGTACATGTAGTTACGGTCTTCTCGATCTATTCACATTCAATGTTTACATTGGGATACGATATGTTTGAGTTTCGGCTTAGTAACTCAATTTCAAAAGTGTAATCTTTGCTGCAAATCAATCGATTCTTTGGAATTTTTCCCTGAACTTCTAGTATCTCTAATCTAGCTACATACATATACGGATAATTGGCATGTTCCAGAGAGGTATCATCTCCGCTAGCCAAGGGTTACGACCCAGTCCTCTCCACGCTACCCCTCCTCTCGACATGGAGAGGAAGGGACTTGATCGTAACCATTGGCTAGCGAAAATGGATAGGTATACAGCCAATAGAAAAATAAATTGAAGTTGGTACTCCAGGACTCCTAATTTATTCGCATAGCAACATTTTAAACACCTTTTAGACGGCAGAGCTCCTATAGCATGCTTTACTCGTCGTTTGCTATTAAATGGATTTTTTTTTCAATTTATTTTTATCTGTTACCAAACTAAGTAGCCAGTAGCCAAGACTTTGATGCATTTGTGTCTGGTCCACCATCCCAAATATATTGCTAGAACGAATAAATGTTTTTATCTATAAACAAATAAATGTTTTTGAACATAAACAAATAAATGTTCTTATCTATAAACAAAAAAGAATAAAATAGAAAAGTTTTGGAAATTTATTGTAAATTTGTTCAGATTTTTATTTTACCTTGAATGTTCCTTCTTGTAATCTTCAACATTTTGAAGTCAGTGGCGGATCCAGAACTTTTTGTAACGGGGGGGGGGCGCTGACTGACCTAAGGGGGGGCGCTCTAGTCACGCTTCAGTGATTCCCTATATAATCAACCAAATTTTTCCCACGAAAGGGGGGCCCGGCCCCCCCCCCCCCCCCCCCCTGGATCCGCCTATGGAAGTTAAGAAGTATAATGTAGATGGTACCCGTGAATCGGGTATACGTGCGGGATTTGTACTCTTACTTTTAGAAATTTCGTTCCAAAGGGAAGTTACTCTGTCTTGGTTATTTAAATTTTCCCGCTTGATATTTTTGGCTGGTCAATATGGAAACAGCATTTTCATTTTCAGTATTGGTTGGTGGCAAGCCTTTACCAGAATACAACATAGACGGAAATAAATACATAGAAGCAGACTTACACTCTAAATCGTCGTACATAATAAAAGACCTGGATGATGAAGGCTACCCACAGGTTCATTTTTTTAAAACCATAAGGCATAAATTTTGTTAATCAGGTTGGGAACAACCCCCCAAATGAGGGATATCCCATAAACGGACCTTCTTTTACTTTAGGGGTCCCAGCCCATATAGCGCCATACTAAATTATCCTTTACCCATAACCTTACCCTAACCCATACCTAAAGGCTAAACCTAACACTAGCGCTAACCCTAGTCCAAATAATTATGACGTCTTGGAAGGCTATTTTAAATTTTTGCTTTGATGCCTTCCTGCGTTGTAAGGCGTCAAAGAAAAAAATATAATAGCCTTTCAAGATGTCATAATTATTTGGACTAGCACTAACCCTAAAAACTAACCCATACTTAGACTCAGTAACTTAGAGGCTAGAACATCCCCAAACCTAACCATAACCATGAATGAACCATAAACCCTAAAGTATAGGGACCCCTAAAGTAAAAGAAGGCCCATAAACGAGGGACTGTCCCTCAGACAAGGGGTTATAATTTTTGCTGTTATAGAATAGAAAAAAAGAAAAACTTAGCGTTTTTAACTTAAAAGGAGGAAAATTCATCATATTTGGAATAACTTTTCTTAAAGAGCTTTAAGAGGGGACCGCCTCGGTGGTCTCATGGTACATGTAGCAGGTTTGCCTTGAGTGATGGAGGTCATGGGTTCAAATCTGGCCGGGTCAAACCAAAGACTTTAAAATTGGTACAAATTTGCTGCTTCTCCACTAACTGACTAAGCACTTGGCAATAAGAGAAAAGACTGGTCGGCTCGGTGTCAGAATAATGTGTCCAGGTCAGATGGCAGGTCTTCCTGCAGACTGTTACCTTGTGAGCTAGCACGTTAAAAATCCGGCTCAGCATGTCGGTCAAGAACAAAGCATTACTTTAAGGGGTTGTTCCCAACCTGTTGATTGGGTTTCTCCCTTATCCCTTTTGTGATTGAGGCGGTCAAATCAGAAAATTCTCTGGACATAGAATCCCAAAGCCTGGCAAAGGGGATTAGGTTCCTCTCTACCTATTTTATCAACATGTAATATCCAAAGGGTTTCCCCAAGTAAATGATTACATTGTAAAATATATACATATTACAGTTATGTACCTGCAGCATCTGAGCAATAAACCAATCCAGAGTCTCTGAAAGTACTGACTGAAAAGTTCATAATTTCAGTAATTACAAACACATGGTATGCATCAGTAATCATCAAAGTTGATAGATATCTGGATAGCAAAAGAGGAATATACATGACTTTCGATTCATGCATTATTTTTTACTGTGCATTATTAGATCACAGTATTAAGAAGTACAATAAATCGTTTGTTCAATGACGTAATTTACACTGATTGACCTCGGGTCAACAGGTTTAAATCATTCATAAAAAAAAACTTGAGATTGGTTTATAAATGTAATTCGTATTCCCATCATATTTTTCCATGGTTAGATATTTGATAAACGAGTGTATAGATGTATTCTCTAAAATTAAAGGGCAAGGTACTCATCAGCTTCTTAAAAAGAAATAATCATTAATTTAAGTTTCATTATTACTTTTTGGCAAAAATGGCTGTATTTCCTATGACTGGACCAACACATATAGTTATATTATGTACATCAAGGCTTCCAAAACGGTCATATATTCCGGACATTTGTATAATGTCCAGTAAAAGTCCGGCTGGGCAAAGCACGAAACGGTCATCTACTTTTTATATTTCAAGGCTTTCTTAAGAGACAGTCATTTTAACATAATTCGCGATCTTTTTGACCCAACCTTTTGCCTTTAACAGCCACACATTTCCGGTCATAAAAGTGACATGATCAATAAGTACTATCAAAACAACCCCTACTTTAATAACATCTCATTTTAATCAAGGCTAATTAGTTGTCGAACAGCTGAAATTTACCTGTTCAGGTGACAGGTAAACTATTTTGAACCGGACATTGATCTGTCTATTCAAAGTTATTTTCTTACATTTCACCGGTTAGCATATAATTATTTTAGTCAAAAAGATTTAAATTATCAGAAATACATTTACAAATAAGATTTGATGAAAAAATTAAAGAGGTGAAAATGAAAAATCGTCATAACCACGTTGTTTGAACCAGAGACATGTCTCTGTTTGAACTAGTACACGTGTGCGCATGTGCATGTGCGCAGGTGTGAAATTTAATTATGCATCCTAATTTCTTTTAAAAATGCTTAAATTGTCGTTGATACCTTTATCTCACGTTTATTTCGAATATTTTCTTGAAGAAATAACGTAGAATGAGCTACTTACACTCATTCATGCTTTGCAAATGTACACAGAATTTACGTATCCGTCTCTGGTCCATGTTTTACCATTGTCAAGATAACATCCGGTTTCAGAATAAAAACGAAAGTAAAGTTTTTGACAACGTTATTTTGCACAAATAAAGAGTCTAAGGCAGATATAAGTACGCTGATGTTGCACACTTCGGATGATGCACTGCCAATTTAACAGTTTACGTCAGAACTTCGAATTTGAATCAAAGAAAGTTTAATATCGTTTTTTTTTAAATATCAATCATTGGGATGGCCAACTCGGCAACTGATTACCATAATTGCCTTTTGTTTATTTAGTCTTAATATAAGGGATTAAAATCGGGATAATATTTAAAATGTCCGGCTGGCTAAAAATAATTTTGGAAGCCCTAATGTACATGTACATGTAAAATATATAAGTTAAATACAAATTATATCAAGTTTATATAAAGGTCACCTGAAGCAAGCTGGTCTCATCAGAAGGATCATTTATTTCAATACAATGTATCTAAATTTTAAAAAGATTTTTGTCTCCTGTCGACAAGGTCGAGAAGGTGAGACTTACATTTGCAGGTGTGCTGTTTCCGTCGGTGGCGTCAACAATGTATTAGTTTGAGATAAGGTCAGTTTAAGGGGAACTATAACTGGTAGGTCAGTGATATTTGGTATGCAGATGCATTGGCACATCTTAACCTTGTTATTACAAGTTAAAGTTTGTGTTTAACTTTAGGTTAGTTTAAAGGGAACCGCTTATAATAATTCAATTGTATTTGGTATGCAGTTTTATAAGCATTGATTGGCATTTCACATTTCTATAGAGGTTGTTTGGCCTAGCACCTTCAGTCATTGTTCATTGACTTCGAATGATGATTTGCATAGTTTACATCCAATTACAGGTTTAAATTAATAGTGCCATTTTAATTTCAACCTCATTATACTATCAAAATTACAAATAAAATGCTCCGCAGGGCGCAGCTTGATATGACTGCAGAGGTCGAACCCTGAACAGTTGGGGCAAGTATGGACACAACATTCAAGCTTGATACAGATTTGCATTTGGATTGTGATTAAATATTTGACACAGCATAGGTTTCTGACACAGAATGAATGTGGTCTAAGAACTTAAAAATTTTAAATTGGACATTCACCTATTATGGTCCAATATCCAAAATCTAAATACATGGTTAGATTCAGCATATCAAAGAACCCCAAGAATTCAATTTTTGATGAAATCAAACAAAGTTTAATTTTGGACCCTTTTGACCTCAATGTGGACAAGGTTGATAACGGGGCCCAAAAATCAAAAATCTAAATACATGGTTAGATTCAGCATATCAAAGAACCCCATATATTCAATTTTTGTTGAAATCAAACAAAGTTTAATTTTGGACCCCGATTTAGACCAACTTGAAAACTGGGCCCATAATCAAAAATCTAAATACATGTTTAGATTCAGCATATCAAAGAACCCTAAGAATTCAATTTCTGTTAAAATCAAACAAAGTTTAATTTTGGACCCTTTGGACCTTAATGTAGACCAATTTGAAAACAGAACCAAAAATTAAGAATCTAAATACACGGTTAGATTTGGCATATCAAAGAACCCCAATAATTCAATTTTTGATGAAATCAAACAAAGTTTAATTTTGGACCCTTTGGACCTCAATGTGGACCAATTTAAAAACGGGGCCCAAAATCCAAAAACTAAATACACGGTTAGATTCAGCATATTAAAGAACCCCAAGAATTCAAGAATAAAACCCCATTGAAATTGGTCAAGAAATAAGCAATTTATACGAAGTATCTTCTTTTGCACAATACTGTGCAATTAAATATTTCTTGCTATTGCACAATACTGTACAATTGACAATTTCTTGCTATTGCGCAATATTGTGCTATTGGATATTTCTTGCTATTGCGCAATACTGTGCAATTGATGATTTCTTGCTATTGCGCAATACTGTGCAATTGAAGATTTCTTGCTATTGTGCAATACTGTGCAATTGAAAATTTCTTGCTATTGTACAATACTTATTATATAATAATTTACACATCCTGTTTGGTGTGTATCTCCTACCATATCATTATTATTTGCTTTTAAATATAAATCAGAAATAACCAACTTAAAATGGAAAATTTTAAAAGAGAAAAAAAAGGAAACCCCCCCCCCCCCAAATTTTTTGAACTTTGAACCCCCTTATGATTCATCACCCCCAAACTCAATCCCAGCCTTCCCTTTGTGGTATGGTACCTTGCAGTACAATTTCAGAGAGATCCATACACTTGAACACAAGTTATTGTCTGGAAACTAGAAAAATGTGTTTTTTGGCCCCTTTTTGGCCCCAAATTCTTAAACAATTAGGGCAATTACCCCCAAACTCAAACCCAGCTTTCCCTTTGTGATATGGAACCTTGTAGTACAATATCAGAAAGATCCATACACTTACACACAAGTTATTGTCTGGAAACTAGAAAAATGCTTATTTTTGGCCCCTTTTTGGCCCCCAATTTCTAAACGTTTCAGCAAGTACCTCCAAACTCAATTCCAGCTTTTCCTTTGTGATATGGAACCTTGTAGTACAATTTCAGAAAGATCCATGCACTTACACACAAGTTATTGTCATGAAACTAGAAAAATGCTTGTTTTTTTGCCCCTTTTTGGGCCCCTAATTCCTAATATTTTGAGGCAATTACCCCCAAAATCAATCCCAGCATTCCTTTTCTGATATGGAACCTTGTGGTACAATGTCAGAGAGATCCATACACTAACACACAAGTTATGTCTGGAAGTTACAAAAATGCTTATTTTTGGCCCCTTTTTGGCCCCTAATTCCTTTACTGTTGGTACCATAACCCCCAAAATCAATCCCAACCTTCCTTTTGTGGTATTGAACCTTGTGGTAAAATTTCATAGAGATCCATTCACTTAAACTAAAGTTAGAGTGCGAAAACCAATGTGTCTTCGGACGACGACGCCAACGTCATACCAATATACGACCACAAAAATTTTTTTGCGGTCGTATAAAAATGCTACACATACAAATGTATCTCTGTGTCAACAGTTTATTTACATAGAACAAAACCATGTTCAAAAAGTATTAACAAAAATTATGAACTCCAAGGTAAGTTAAAAAAGGGGAAAGTCCATAAAAACTGACTTGGTACAGACATTTTCAAAGGAATTTCAATGTGGGAAGCATGCAAAATGGAATTCTCATATCTTCAGTAACAGTGAAATACAAAATGATTTTGGAGTCTGCTTTGGCAAGATTTTCTTATTTGTTCTCTAATAGAAATAATTGAAATTGTTTTAAACATTGAGAAGGAAAAAATGACCAAAGTATGTTTGTGAGTTTCCAAACAGCATGAATAAAGAATTATAGCAAATGAATCAAAACATACATGTAGGGATTACTATGCATTGTCTGTACAGTTTTATTAATCAACAACTTATAATTAGACCCCTCCCCTCTTCACCACCAGTAGAAACATGAGAAACCAATCCACTTGAACACATACAAGCAGGGTTTAAGCTAGGATTTTGAGGGCTTTAGTCACTTTTTGTCAGACCTACAGATTAGGTGTTCGGTGGTGAAAAGACCGACCCAAAAGTTGGGTCCCTTTTTTAAAACCAGGAATCACAGTATAAATGAACTTGTTGAAATTTGTAAGACTATTACACTGCATAATCATCCTTATATATGTAAGATGTTTAAATCGATATTTGGATTAATTTCTATAAAGTTACAATGATACAAGTGTCTTTCAGGAATTGCGCAGTTTTAAATAAATTTTTTATCACATGTATTTTTCGTACATTTTAATTCTCATATATATATACATGATATACTAAGGTAGAACACATAGGCAACACAAGAAGTCTTGATATTCATATCTTGTTTTGTTTATTACAGCATTATCCTGTCACCCCATTTGAAATAACTGGAAATTTTAAGAACAGAATGAGACTTCCATGCTACCTAAGGTTATGTGTAGATGGACAACAAATATGGATGAAGCCATTTCCTCCAAGTTATAGAGACCAGTATTTGTAAGGACAAATAACACTGAATAGAATGTAGTAAACACAGGTTGATTTAGTTAAAAATGGCTCGTGCTGGAGATTTTTTATTATGTATTTTTGAGATTTGCGCTTGAAAATATGGCTGTTTATTCTATACATGTACATGTATTACAAAAAAATTATATGTCACGTTTTCTAATGTGGTTGTTCTCATGCCAAAAACAGCAGATTTTTAACATAATCACATTGTGTTTACTAATACTGTAATGTCTGATATCCACAGAAACTATTTAGCCCTTTACCTTTAATCGCAGCTCATTGACTGAATATTTGCATGTTAAACTATTGTTGTTTTAATTTCAACATTTGCATTTTACTACCAAATTTACACCCAGTTGCATATATCTCTGCATCAACAATTTATTTAAAAAAATTACCTGAAAAATGACTTTAATAGTTACAAAGTCTGACAAAATATTGGTTGAATCCTTGTGCAAATTCATTACAGCTACATGTAGTGCAAAACATCAATATTTTGCCGTCTTTCTGTAAGTACAGGACTTGGGTAAAAATTATAAGATATATATATTTTTACACAAAAGGAACCAACCTTTCCCCAAAATATTATCTGATATTACATGTTCCATCTTATAAGCTGGTTTGGCACTTCATGAACATATCATCTGTGTATTATATGTCTCTGCTTCCACGATTAAGAAATTAACAGACCATTCAACAAATGTTCAATTATTTCATCTAAAGTCAAAATTTTACACTTGCTCTAATAGATATCGACAACACGTCACTTGCTGCAAAATATGATGGAATAACAATGATCAAACTAGTTATTTTCTTCAATTGTCTATTGCCAATAACCGATTTGATTCTGTTTTTCAACACTTTTGAGGTAAATCTAGAAAACACTTTGGATGCATGCAATTATAAAGTGTTGATTTTATTTTATTTAAAGCAAAATGGGCTGCTGCCCATGCAATGCATGATAAGTTGAAAGTGATATGTAGCAGTTTTAACTAATTTCTTTTTAACTAATTTCTAATAAAAAAATAGATATTGATATCAAAATTGTTTAGATTAAGTTGAATGAAGAGATTTGAAAAAGTTAAAAGATTATACATATTATGCACAGATAAATTTGGTATTTCCACTACATATAGTTATTTGTCATGTTTGTTGTCTAGAAAAATTCCTAGTTATTTTCTTCAATTGTCTATTGCCAATAACCGATTTGATTCTGTTTTTCAACACTTTTGAGGTAAATCTAGAAAACACTTTGGATGCATGCAATTATAAAGTGTTGTTTTTATTTTTTTTAAAGCAAAATGGGCTGCTGCCCATGCAATGCATGATAAGTTGAAAGTGATATGTAGCAGTTTTAACTAATTTCTTTTTAACTAATTTCTAATAAAAAAATAGATATTGATATCAAAATTGTTTAGATTAAGTTGAATGAAGAGATTTGAAAAAGTTAAAAGATTATACATATTATGCATAGATAAATTTGGTATTTCCACTACATATAGTTATTTGTCATGTTTGTTGTCTAGAAAAATTCCTGTCTGTCATAAGGAAAGCAACTCAAACATAGATCTCTAATTACAGGGTCATTAAGGGAGTTGGCAAATAGACTATTGACAATAACGCATCGACTTATTCTATTGAATCATTTTTTTTTTTGTGAAATAACTGTAATGGTTATTATTTGAAATTTAATCAATTTGACGCTAAGGCCAAAAAAAAATATATGTCTGTTTAAGGTTACATACTTTAAAAAAAAAAGTTAGGTAGGTCTGTATTCCCATTTTATTTTATTTTTTCATTTTATTTTTTGTGACATGATTTTGAGTCATGCCGTTTCGACTTTTCGTGGTCTGAGTTGATCATGGGCCGAGTTTACTCGTAGTTTTGATGATTGGATTATTTCCCTTGGAAAAAAATGGCGGCAAAGTGTTTATTTCATCACACGAGTTGCGAATTTCCTTAAAACAGCTGTCATATTCACGATTGTGAACATTGGGATGTATCAGGCAATTGATTTATATCATTTGCAACACAAACTTCGCTTTTGACACCAGTTCAGTTTATTTTTCACTTTACGACGGAAATAAAATGACTTAGGGTTGGCGCTCAAAAGTAGGGTCGGTCGGGTAACTGTAAACAGACATATATTTTTTTTTGGCCTAATGGTACATGTAGTAGAAAATGACCATTTGACGACTAATAGTAAAAGGCTTTACCACCCTCTAAGAGTAGGTATCAGAGACACATCAATAGGATTGATTGATTGATTGGTGTCTAACTCCACTTTCAGCACTATTATGCTATTTCGTGGTGGTCAGTTTTTATTCGTGAAGGAAGCCTGAGTGCCCAGAGAAGAACCACCGACCATGGGTAGGAAAACTGACAATCCTAGTCAATTAAGATTGGAATCTAGCGCACCTGTCACATGTGGGATTCGATCTCACAACCTCAGTGTTGACAGGCTAATGATACAGTAGTTTGTTTTCTAAGACCACTCAGCCACTGAGGCCCCAACGTCAATAGGAAGACTTATTACTGTTGGTAACAGTTAACACTAAGGATCTACTATAGAATTTAATTCCAAAATAAAAAATCTTACGTTTCACAATTTATAAACAAAAGCTTTGTGATTATATTTACAATCACTATCACCACTATCAATGCTTATTTGACTAGATACTATCATCGTTCCTGTTTCAATGTTGATATCTATTGCTTTAGGAGATTTAATTCCATTAGCCTCTGATAGTATTGTCTTACAGGTTTGACCATCGTGTGATACTACCACAATTCTGTTGTTATTCTTACAAGCTATATAAACACAGCAATTTTTGTCTAATGCAAGTTTTCCTGGAATGCCAATGTCATGGTGCTTAAATGTCCAGAGATGGGTACCAGAACTTTCAATGCAATAGACCTCATCTACAGTGGTACCATAGATATTTCCTTTAAATAATGCAACACAATAGGCCTTAACTCCTTCTAAGATTGTTTCAGACATGTCATTCAGATTCACTATGGTACTTTTCTCATTACCTCCCACAACCATTATTTGACCATCACTTGCTAACCCATAACAGAAATGAGAAAGTCTAATTTTTTTGATGATTTTTTTACTTTCTATATCCACCAATGCTGTCATCTTCTTTTCTTTTGATGATCCTAATGTAACAGCCACTGTATCAGCTTTCACAAAGCAAATATCCGATGAGTATCCAGTCAATGTCTTTACATCTCTCATAAATATGCCATCATTACCAAACAGCAGCAGATGACTACTTAAAGAATCGCTATCAAGAATTAAATATTTACCATCAGGTAATATTCTACAGGCAATTATATCAAGATACTTCACACTCAAATAATCTGATTCTTCTGGCATTGTCAGCTGTCTTAACATGGATGGCTTAATTTTTTCAATTATGGAAATCGTCGGAACGAGGTACTGTGCTTGATTTTTTCTTCCTGTCTTTACTTGAAGAGAGCATGGGCTGGTATTGATATTAATATCTCCAAATGATTTGACATCTTTTAATATTGATTGAACTTCAGATGAGATTGTCACTTCTATGTAATTTTCATCAAATTGGCCTCCACTTTTTAAATCTTCAATGTATTCTGCTGCTTGAGATGTAGTTTTCTCAATTTCTCCCAGACCAACATACATTTGTAAGTCAGTTGCATATTGTGTCATTTTAGAAAACTCACTCTGCAATTGACTGATCTCATTGGCTCGCTGTGTCAGTTGTTGTAGAAGAGTGTTTATCTTTGATTTCAGTTTTGATTGTTTAGATTCAAGATCCTCCAGAATGTCTTTTTCTATTTTGTTTAAGTAATCATCTATGGACTTCCTCATAGATTTAATATTTTCAGCTGCTTTCTGTGTTTGAATACTGCTGGTTTCCATCCTACTGTTCAAATGTTTTGTAATCTCTTCAAAGATTTCTTTCATGTCCTTCAAATCGTTTTCAAGAAGTTGAACGGAGGCTGATGATTTAACTTGCTCTAGAACGTCTGACAGGGATTTCATTTCTTGACATTGCTGGTGTGTATCAGTGATGCACGTGACACAGCAGGGACAGGCATGGAAAGAACAGTAAAGGTCAAACTTCTTCTTGTGGTCTCTGCACTGGTTACTTATTTCTTGCATGAATTTTGGTAGTTCATGGTAGTCTTCAGTAGACATGGTTTTATGGTCTTTAGATGTTCTGGACTTCTTGTGATGCTTTCCACAATCTGTACAAAGGAACACCTCACATTCTATGCACCATTCGACAGCATCTGTAAATGATCCGTCGTCATCATCCTCATAACAGAGGCTGCAGATTTTCATATCCGATGAAGCCATATTCTCTTAATTCTGAAAATAAGAGTAGAAAAAGTTTTTTTATAAATATTTCAATATCAATTGAAACAACACAATTACCAAGAAACAACTTGGCCAAGGAAGAAAACACACTAACATGTGGTTACACAAGATGTAGCAAGGATAGCATGACTTTCAGAATATTTAACTTATGGATATTTTTAGATTTGCAATGTATGTATGATAAAAAAAATTGCACTCTGATCAAAATATTGGATGAGAATCAGAAGTAAAAACATTTTACACTAGTCATTTTGGGGCACTTTATAGCTTGCTGTTGGGTGTGAGCCAAGGCTCCTATTGAAGGCCGTACTTTGACCTGTATAAGGGTTTACATTTTACAAATTGGAACTTGGATGGAGAGTTGTCTCATTGGCACTCATACCAGGGATCCTATACACTTCATATTTAAAGAAGTGATTACTGTGGATTCATTTATTTTCGTGGGTATTAATTTTCGTGGATTGAGGAAAACTTGCAATTTCGTGGATATTTGATTTCGTGGTTTTGCCAATCTCTGTATACAAAGCCTATAGAAAATTTGTAATTCGTTGAACATTTAAATTCGTGGTTCACCTGTACCCATGAAACCCACGGAAATTGGTATCCAACAAATAATAATGAATCAGTAGTACCCTTATTACCAGGAATAATCTGTTTGGATGAGTATTGAGGCCCTCATTGGGGTGTCCAAGAAATCACATAATCACAAATGTTTTGCCAATATAATTACATAATCATTAATTATTATTTTAAACAAGATAATCAAATAATCAAAAATACAGTCCTAGATTATCAAATAATCAAATAATCATGAAATATTTGGTCTGGTCATCAAATAATCACTAAAAAAACGGTCAAGTAATCACATAATCAAAAACCCCATGAGGAGGCTCAGTATTAAAAAAAAACAGGCTTGGGGTAGTAATAGAAAATTTGCTGAAATTAGTGTAGTACAATGTATATACTCACCAAAATATTTGATTATCAGAAAATTTTGATATACAAGACTATTAAAATGATGAAATTGCAAAATTATCCCATATATGATCTTGACACTGTGATGATGCTTTCATTTTTAGCTCACCTGGCCCATAGGGCCAAGTGAGCTTTTCTCATCACTTGGCGTCCGTTGTCGTCCGTCGTCCGTTAACTTTTACAAAAATCTTCTCCTCTGAAACTGCTTGGCCAAATTTAACCAAACTTGGCCACAATCATCATTGGGGTATCTAGTTTATAAAATGTGTCCAGTGACCCGGCCAACCAACCATGATGGCCGCCATGGCTAAAAATAGAACATAGGGGTAAAATGTAGATTTTGGCTTATATCTCTGAAACCAAAGCATTTAGAGCAAATCTGACATGGGGTAAAATTGTTAATGTGGTCAAGATCTGCCCTGAAATTTTCAGATGAATCGGACAACCCGTTGTTTGGTTGCTGCCCCTGAATTGGTAATTTTAAGGAAATTTTGCCGTTTTTGGTTATTATCTTGAATATTATTATAGATAGAGATAAACTGTAAACAGCAATAATGTTCAGCAAAGTAAGATCTACAAATAAGTCAACTTGACCAAAATGGTCAGTTGACCCCTTAAGGAGTTATTGCCCTTTATAGTCAATTTTTAACCATTTTTCGTAAATTTTTGTAATCTTTTACAAAAATCTTCTCCTCTGAAACTACTAGGACAAATTTAACCAAACTTGTCCACAATCATCATTAGGGTATCTAGTTTAAAAAATGTTTCCGATGACTGCCTGCGAACCAAGATGGTTGACATGGCTAAATAATAGTACATAGGGTAAAATGCAGTTTTTGGCTCATATCTCTAAAACCAAAGCATTTAGAGCAAATCTGACGAGGATAAAATTATCATTAGGTCAAGATCTACCTGCCCTGAAATTTTCAGACCAATCAAGCAACATGTTGTTGGGTTGCTGCCCCTGAATTGGATATTTTAAGAAAATTTTGCAGCTTTTGGTTATTATCTTGAATATTATTATAGATAGAGATAAACTGTAAACAGCAATAATGTACAGCAAAGTAAGATCTACAAATAAGTCGACATGACCAAAATTGTCAATTGACCCCTTAAGAAGTTATTGCCCTTTATAGTTAATTTTTTACAATTTTCATAAATTTTGTAAATTTTTACAAAATATTTTCCACTGTAACTACTGGGCCAAGTTCATTATAGATAGAGATAATTGTAAGCAGCAAGAATGTTCAGTAAAGTAAGATCTACAAACACATCACCATCACCAAAACACAATTTTTTCATGAATCCATCTGTGTCCTTTGTTTAATATGCACATAGACCAAGGTGAGCGACACAGGCTCTTTAGAGCCTCTAGTTTAGCTATCCAGGGCCCAAAGGGCCGCATGTGAGCTTATGCCATCACTTGGCGTCCGGCGTCGTCGTCGTAAACTATTTAAAAAATCTTCTACTCTGAAACTACTGGGCCAAATACCTTCAAACTTTAAATAAATGTTCCTTAGGGTATGTAGTTTATAAATTATATCCGAAGTTTTGATCCATCGACAAACATGGCCGCCATGGCTAAAAATAGAACATAGGGGTCAAATGCAGTTTTTGGCTTATTTCTCAAAAACTAAAGCTTTAAGAGCAAATCTGACATGGGGTAAAATTGTTCAATTGGTCAAGATCTATCAGCCCTGAAATTTTCAGACGAATCGAACAACCCATTGTTGGGTTGCTGCCACTAAATTGGTAGTTTTAAGGAAATTTTGCAGTTTTTATACGCCTGTCAATTTTTGACGGGACATATTATGTTATACAAATGTCCTGTGTCCGTCTGTCTGTCCGGCGTAAACATGTCGCACCGTAACTTGAGAATGACTTATCCAAATTTCATGTAACTTAACATAATAATTAATTGTTTCTTATGATGGTCAAACAATCTGTATACTTTTTGGTGAAAATAAGATTAAAACTTTTTGAGTTATGGGACTTAGTAACTAAAACAGGTGTGTGATTTTTTTCACGTCTCGCCGTATCTCAAAAACAATTTATGATTATTGCTTAAAACTTTACACACTTCTTAATTATATTAATCTTAAGATCTGTATACTTTTTGGTGATGATTCAAAATTTTATTTTAGAGATATTGAGTATTTTGTTAAAAAAGGGGGAGGGGTTTTTCACATGTCGCGCCGTATCTCAAAAGCAGTTTATGATTATTGCTTAAAACTTTACACACTTCTTAGTTATATTAACCTTAAGATCTGTATACTTTTTGGTGATGATTCAAAATTTTATTTTTGAGTTATTGAGTATTTTGCAAAAAAAGGGGGAGGGGTTTTTCACATGTCGCGCCTTATCTTAAAAACGATTTATGATTATTGCTTAAAATTTTACATACTTCTTAGTTATATTAATCTAAATTTCTGTATACTTTTTGGTTTTGATTCAAAATTTTATTTTTGAGATATTGATTTTTTTTTTTTTAAAAGGGGGGTTGTCACATGTCGCGCCATATCTCAAAAACGATTTATGATTATTGCTTAAAATTTTACACACTTCTTAATTATATTAATCTAAAGATCTGTATACTTTTTGGTTTTGATTCAAAATTTTATTTTAGAGATATTGAGTTTTTTGTTAAAAAAAAAGGGGGTTTTTGCATGTCATGCTGTATGTCAGAAACTATTTATGCTTATTGCATAAAAATTCACACACAAGACGACGGGCGTATCATGCGCTCATGGCGCAGCTGTTATTATCTTGAATATTGTTATAGATAGATATAAACTGTAAACAACAATAATGTTCAGCAAAGTAAGATCTACAAAAAAGTAAATATGACCAAAATTGTCAATTGACCCCTTAAGGAGTTATTGCCCTTAAAAGACAATTTTACACAATTTGTTCATCAAGTTTGCTAACATTTAAAAATCTTCTCCTCTGAAACTAATGGGCCAAATTCCTTAAAACTTTAACTAAATATTCCTTAGGGTATCTAGTTTATAAATTGTATCCGAAGTTTTGATCCATTGACAAACATGGCCGCCATGGCTAAAAATAGAAGATAGGGGTCAACTGTAGTTTTTGGCTTATATCTCAAAAACTAAAGCTTTCAGAGCAAATCTGACATGGGGTAAAATTGTTCAATTGGTCAAGATCTATCAGCCCTCAAATTTCAGACGAATCGAACAACCCATTGTTGGGTTGCTGCCACTAAATTGGTAGTTTTAAGGAAATTTTGCAGTTTTTTGTTATTATCTTGAATATTGTTATAGATAGATATAAACTGTAAACAACAATAATGTTCAGCAAAGTAAGATCTACAAAAAAGTAAATATGACCAAAATTGTCAATTGACCCCTTAAGGAGTTATTGCCCTTAAAATACAATTTTACACAATTTGTTCATCAAGTTTGCCAACATTTAAAAATCTTCTCCTCTGAAACTACTGGGCCAAATTCCTCAAAACTTTAACCAAATATTCCTTATGGTATCTTGTTCATAAATTGTATCCGAAGTTTTGATCCATTGACAAACATGGCTGCCATTGCTAAAAATAGAAGATAGGGGTCAACTGTAGTTTTTGGCTTATATCTCAAAAAAACTAAAGCTTTTAGAGCAAATCTGACATGGGGTAAAATGTTTAAAAGGTCAAGATCTATCAGCCCTGAAATTTTCAGACAAACCGAACAACCCATTGGTGGGTTGTTGCCACTAAATTGGTTATTTTAAGGAAATTTTGTAGTTTTTGGTTGTTATGTTGAATATTATTGAAGATAAAGATAAACTGTAAACAGCAAAAATGTCCAACAAAGTAAGATCTACAAAAAAGTTTTATATGACCAAAATTGTCAATTGACCCCTTAAGAAGTTATTGCCCTTTAAGGACAATTTTACACAAGTTGTTTATGTTTTTTAACTTTAAAAAAAGAAATGAATCTAGTATAAATTTTGTATTTTATTTCCTTGTACGTCATGAAACATAGAAACTATGGCTAAAATGGAACATATGGGTAAAATGCATTTATTTGCTTTTGAGGAAAATATGACAGATACAATGAACATTTAAGTGGCATTTTTAAGCCACTCATTAATATATATTGAAAAGCAAAAATAATCATTGATGAAAGATTTAACCAAAATTTTAACAGGTGAGCGATTCAGGCTCTTGAGAGCCTCTTGTTATGATATCCTTCTCAAATTTGTTTCAAGATTTTCACTAAAAAAACATTGAAAGGGTCTTATAATAAGAAAAATCTGAACTTGTCAGAAATAGGGGTACATTTCTTCATGGAAGTTTGGGTGGGTGATTGTAAAATTTTCCAATATTAATTATGTGGGATGTAGGGTACATTGTATGTGAGCTTGCTTACTTCAGGATTCATTCATTATACACATTAAATGTAACCAATACAAGATTTACAAAAGGGAGGTTTTGTGGTCAAAAAGCAAAACAATCATCCTACCCTCTTTTATTGATAGTGATATGCCCCAGTTAGTGGTTGTCTCTAGTTGTAGTTGGAGTGTTTCTTCCTTTAGAGAATTTGGTGTTGGTGGTGATTTCTGTTGGATTTCTTTTTCTTATGTGGATACTTATAGCTTCACATATATATGGTATAGACCATGGGTTTATGAGGGTGTGAATGGGGTATAATAGAATAGAGAATAATAGGCAACAAAAATAAAGAATAGAGAAAAATGGCAAAAAAAAATAAAGAATAGAGAATAATGGGGTGCTAAAATATAAAGAATAACTGCAACAATAAAAGAATTGGGTAAAATATACTGAATAAAGAAAAGAACAATGTCCAGAATACACAGTTATCAAGTAATTACATTATAGCCATTATCTTTAAAGATAAAGAATAATGAGCAAAAAAATTAAAGAAGACAGAAATGAAGGACCGCGATCCATCTATTACTAATTATCACAAGTTTACCTGTAAATGCCTTTTCTTTTGCTGTTGGATTACTGTCTCATTACTGTATACCCCTGATCTCCAAAAGCATTCTTACCATTAATGTTGCGAAAGTGAATGGTGATGCTCAGGAAGTTTCCATAGGGAAGTAAAATGTCTAATAACTGGGATTATATATAAATAGAAAACAAAAGTGAAAGACATCTTTCTATTTATAGATTATTTCAGATATGATACTTACCAATGTTAATTACATAATGCAGTATTAAATATGTTGTTTAAACCACTTTTCTTGTCTTGTGTCCTTCCTGCTTATTTTATTTACCAAACTTTATACCTAAAAACAGTATTACATGTCCCATTCAAAGGATAATGACGAAAAGACCATAAAAAAGAAGACAAACAACAGACCACAAAACATGGAAAACTAAATATTGAGCAACAAGATCACCACAAATAAAGAACTTAAAGAAAACTCACAAGCTCTGAGAGAGGGTCTGGATGGGGGTCCTTAATTTTTTTATTCTTAATTTTTTGAGATCATTTTTTCTATTCTTTATTTATTTTGTCCATTATTCTTTATTCTGTATATTTTAACACTCCATCATGTCCATTATTCAATCTCTTTTAATAAGCAAAAGCTGATTCATTCATGTTGTCATTTTAAATATCATACTCATAACTAATTTACATTCATATTTCTCACATGTTCTTGGGTGCCCCTGAGTGGGAACACCCTCAGGCCTGTCCACAAGTACCTGTGATATAATAATTTGAAAAACAAATACTTTATAAGCAGATTTCTTCTTACTATCATCTCTTAAGTATAAGCAACAGGTCAACTATATATGTTGCATTGAATGATAGAAACTGTACATGTCTGTCTGGCAGAGTCATTGTCATGGATAATTGATAATGTTAAAAGTTTATTTGATACTTGTAGTAAAGTCTTTATCTTAAAGTCATTCAACATAAAATCAATCATGTCAGATCTGTATATAAAAGCAGGAGAGACATTTTAGCGTGTGCACTCTTATTTGTGAATTTCAGACACAAATTGTTGTAAAAAAACTCATCCCCATTTCTATGTAACATCTTTTTGTGCTAGAATTTCAACAAATATTTATATAATTTCATGGTATATGTAACGATTGTTCTCAATCTTTCTTACAATACCTTTAGTCTGTAGATATTTATTCTATTCAATAGCTTTTCGAAATACATTAGCCAGGTTTTCTAAATAAAATAACAACTAAACTACTATTTCAAGAAATAGAAATTATTATTATTACTATAAATAACTACAAAGAATGAAAGTACAATATGTTTAACGGTTTTCTGTGATTTTCGTGCGTGAAGTATTTACCTATTAAGTTTCTGTAAAGATGAGTTCAAATTCGTTTTGCTATTCGGAAAATCCCCTTTTTATAATCCTTAGCACGCCTTATCCTTGCGCGTAAGAAAATAGGTCGCTACTGGTCAAGGTTAATCATATAAATCACTGTCAATACATACGTAAATATTGGATTATAAAGAAAGCAATCACGATTTCATACGTCTCGACACCGATTTATCAATATAAAGCATATAAACACAAGTAACTAAAGAAATGTAGGATTAATAACAAGTTAGAAAACAAAGATGTTATTCGAATGCCACATGTTGGCGGAATTTCGTAACGCTAAATCGGCAACTGCCAATTTTGCCGGGAACGACGTTACGTTAACACAAAGGTAAAACCGCGTTATTGAATGTTTACAACAGTATAATACATGTAATATGCTAATCAAAATTGTTTCTTGATGTCTCTGATTGTAGCAAATGAAAAAAAAGCAGATTATAGTGTTATGTAGTACTGTTAATTGGTAATATTGCTATGCAAGCAAATTAAAAACATAGATAGACAACAAGAGTACACACGCTGAAATGTCTCACCTATTATACTGACCATTGATTTTATGTTGATAGTCCTACATATAAAGTTTTACTACAACACATTAACATTTATGATCCAAGAAAATGCGGTCAATGTCAGATAAACCAAGCTGGAAATACATGTCCACCTTTAATACAATCATTCCATACACAGAATATAGATAACCTATTGCTTATAGTATGAAAGAAACAAGACCAAACGATGGAAATTCTATATTGACCAATGAACCATAAAAATCAGGTCAAGGTCAGATGAACCCTGCTAGACAGACATGTACACCTTAAAATCATTCCATGCTTCAAATATAGTTGACCTATTGCTTTAAGTATCTAAGAAACAAAGATAACCAGGAAAACTGAACATTGACCAATCAACCATGAAAATGAGGTGAAGGTCAGATGATACCTGCCAGACAGACATATACACCTTACAATCATTCCATACACCAAATATAGTTGACCTATTGCTAAATGTTTAAGAAAAACAGACCAAAACACAAAAACTTAACATTGAGCAATGAACCATGAAAATGAGGTCAAGGTCAAATAAAACCTGCCAGACTGACATGTACATTGTAAAATATTTCCATACACCAAATATTGTTGACCTACTGCATACAGAATTAGAAAAACAAACCAAAACACAAAAACTTAAAATTGAGCAATGAACGGTGAAAATGAGGTCAAGGTCAAATGAAACCTGCCAGACTGACATGTACATCGTAAACTATCTCTATACACCAAATATAGTTGACCTACTGCATACAGTATTAGAAAAACAGACCAAAACACAAAAACTTAACATTGAGCAATGAACGGTGAAAATGAGGTTAAGATCAAATAAAACCTGCCAGACTGACATGTTCATCCTAAAATATTTCCTTACACCAAATACAGTTGACCTATTGCATACAGTATTAGAAAAACAAACCAAAAACACAAAAACTAAACTATGACCACTGAACCATGAAAATCAGGTCAAGGTCAGATGACACCTGCCAGTTGAACATGTACACCTTACAATCATTCCATACACCAAATATAGTAGACCTATTGCGTTTAGTATCTGAGATATGGACTTGACCATGAAAACTTAACCTTGTTCACTGATCCATGAAATGAGGTAGAGGTCAAGTGAAAACTGTCTGACGGGCATGAGGACCTTGCAAGGTACGCACATACCAAATATAGTCATCCTATTACTTATAACATGTATAATAAGAGAGAATTTAACATTCCAAAAAATCTGAACGTTTTTTTCAAGTAGTCACTGAACCATGAAAATGAGGTCAAGGACATTGGACATGTGAATGACGGAAACTTCGTAACATGAGGCATCTATATACAAAGTATGAAGCATCCAGGTCTTCCACCTTCTAAAATTTAAAGCTTTTAAGAAGTTAGCTAACGCTTCCCCCGCTGCCGCCGCTGGATCACTATCCCTATGTCGAGCTTTCTGCGACAAAAGTCGCAGGCTCGACAATAAAACTATAGTATTTTCTTTCAAAACAAAATATCAAACCTTGGTTGAACCATTTGATTTATTCATCAAAATATGCAATTTTATTTTGCAGTAAAGTCTCTGGTATTAAAGACAATAGAAATGGAACTGTGAAAGAGCTTCTGTTTTCGTTGCCAAAGATAACTTCACAAAAGGTATGTTACTATATTTAAATACTTGTCAGGTTAGTCAATATTTTAGTAAGTTGGTTACATTTATTAGTTGATAAACTTTCTTTAAAAAAATTTTTTGTAAGAACAAAGATTTATTTGGTCCCAATTTAATGTTTAGTTTGCCATAGCAAAAATAGATTTATGCCTACATGCATATGTATCTACAGTCTCAGGCAACAGTCTTCCATCCAATAATTGTTTTGTAATTTTAAAGTTTTATAATTATTGAATGAACTCCAGTAAATTATTGTTACTGTGGATTCATTATTATTCGTAGGATACCAGTTTACGTGGATTTTGTGCCTCAATGTGAACCATGAAGTTTTTAAATGTTTAAAGAAGTACAAAGTTTCAATAGGCTTCAGATGCAGACTATGAGAAAACCAATATACACAAAAATAAAAAAAAGTTTCCTCAATCCACAAAAAATTGGTACCCACAAAAATAAATGAATCCACAGTAGCTGAGATAGAAATAGGAAGATATGGTATGAGTGCCAATGAGACAACTCTCCATCCAAGTTACAATTTATAAAAGTAAACCATTATAGGTCAAGGTACGGCCTTCAACACGGAGCATTGGCTCACATCGAACAGCAAGCTATAAAAAAGATGTTTGTAATGGTTCAGATGCTAGTATTGAATTAAATGTAAAACGTATAGTATACTTAACTACTTTGCTATTGTCAACATTTATGCTTTAGTCATTCAGCATGTTCAGAAGGTTATGAAATAAAGTTGACCCTGGTAAGTTTTTTCTTTAACAGGACAAAGGTTCTAAAAATTGGAAAGCAGATCTAGGTACAATAACCATGGAATGTTTAGAAGCAATTGAAGATGGATGCTTCCAGACTTACAAGAGACAATTCATCCAAACAGAGCCTAAAAATCTTTCAGATAAAGCAGTTCACCAGCAAGCAACTAAGCAAGATTGCTCAAAGAGAGGTATGAAAATGATTTTTTTCCAAATACAGATCATGTCTCATAAATTAACTCTTCCTTGAGTAATTCACTACAAAATGGGATGTAAGTAAAGCACATTATGAAGTAAAGATTTGAGGCAAAAGCCGAAAACATTTATGCAAAGGACAATGCACCATAATATACCTAAATACATGTAAGATGAGATAGATCCAAACACCCATCAAGAATTTCAAACTGCAATGCATCACAGGGGTACAAAAATTTAATCAAAGGATTTAAAACAACAACACGCCATAACTTTTGTTAATGAAAATGTAAGTTCATGACAAATGGAATAAAACAATTCAACTTTACTACAATATTTTACATACAACATGAGTTCTTACGGTATGAACTCGTCTGTTGACAGTGTGAATATAGAAATGAATCTTATTCTTGTCACCAAAAGACATTGTGGTTCATGTACCCCAGGAATATCAATGAATACACAAAATTTTATAAAATACAACACTTACCAGAGGAAGAGTAACAGAAGTTAATTTACAGTATGTCAAAGGCAATTAAAATGTAAAAATTATTTTTAACCAACTTATTAAAGGCTAAGCTGCTTAAAAGTGAATCTTTGGTAAATAACCTCAAATTTTGTTGGAAAAAGGGAAGAACAGATCATTTCAAGGTGCAAGACCTCATGAAAGATGAAAAAGGGCACATAGCATCAGATAAAGAGGGTGGGCTATGTGCCTTCTGAAAATGGCTGAGATGGAACAATGTGTGACACTAGTTGTGTAACACTATTAATATAAAGCAGACATGTTAGACCTAAAAATTGAATTGCAAGAGCCCTTTGTTTTAGAATTTCAAGGATTTTACTCATTGTTTGAGTCCAATCATTTAAATATGTACAATTATTTGTTTTAAGGTGGCATTGGAGTATCAACTAGAGAGGGAAGAGGAATTTGTACCATTGAGAAGTCCGATAGAATGATTACCATGATCAGGTATAAATTGGGGGAAAGAGATTTTGGAAAACTTACACTGAACTACAGAACAAAACACGTTCTAGAGGAATTGGGAATAATTGACAAGGCATGGATATCAGACAAACATATTAAGGACACTGTTGAAAAGTCACCATCTGAAAAAGGGAAAGTTCCAAGTATCAGAAAAGAGAAGGAAATTTCAATAGCTTCAGAGAAAGAAGATGTCTACATGAATTCACCAGTATCTGAGAAGGAAAATGAACATCCCTCAAAACACACAACTGCTTCAACAGACAAATCTTACAAGATTTTAAAACCAGCAGTTGAATCAAATAATCCTCACATGACTTCATCAGCCCTGGAGAAAGAAGATGTAGGGCCTTCTAAGAAGAAACCTGTATTGGAGTCTAATGAGAATAACATGGCTCAGAAGCGGAAAAGTATGGAAGAGAACAATTTTGAAATGGAAATCGACAACATTAAAAGCAGGCTCAGGTCTAAGAAAAATGTTACCAAGACCGTAGAAGGTAATGCAAAGGCAATAAAAAAGAAAAATATTACTAGTAAAACAATTAAACAGGAAGCAATTAGTGCTGATGATGAGTGCAATGAAAAAGGTAAAACAATTAAACAGGAGGCAATAAGTGCACAAGAAAAGTTCAACGAAAGAGTTGAAAATGTTATCTCAAAATTGAAAGATTTGGATTGTGCCGAAACAGTTAATTCAAGGAAACTTTTCTGTTTCTCACCTTCTTCTGTTTCGGTGAAAAAGGAAATGATAGATGAGACAAGTAAATTAGGTTGTCACACTCCTTCAGATATTGGTAAAAATCTCTGCAATGGTAAACTGGGACACCATTCACAATCAGATGTCGGTAGACACCTTTTCAGAAGTAAACTGGAATGCCATTCAGAGTCAGACAGGGGACAGCTACTCGAGTTTCATCAAATCAAAAAGGAAATGATCGATAATGAAGAGAGACAGTTCCGTTACATTGAAATTGATGATGATGTAATCATGTTACAGGAAGTTGATGATGATGTGGTTTGGATGGGAGATGAAAGCTGTTGTTTTATTGACATCGAACCAGAAGATGTGCCAGTCATCGATCTTGTTGCTTAAAATTACAATCATGTTTTAAAATACCATTTAAGTTAATTTTAATGGTAAACTGAACAAAAATAAAGAAAAGTAATTTTGCTTGGAAGATCAAATAAAAAAAATGTGTGTTTACGGTTTCACTACTGACCCTAATGTTTCCATGAGAATATCCTCATCAATATATTGCATAGGTGTTGAAACTGCTACACAGTCCCTTTATTGTACATTTCTGAATTAAAAAAAGTTGTCAAATAATATTGAAAATTACGAATATACTTTCATCATGTTCATGCATGCACTGATAACCAGATGTGTTGTGTTAATCAGGATCAAACTTGGAGAAAGCAAGAAACAGACATATTTGTTTTTGGCTTCAGTATCAGTGAATATGGTCGTTCTACATTTATACCAATGTATATGGAAGATTATATCAGCAATGTCTGGGATAATTTCAAAAATCAGTGCTGATCAATTATTTTTTTCAGAAGTTATTACCCTTAGAAATGAAAATTCTACTAAAGAAAATTGCATTGTAAGCTCTCCCATGTGTGCAATTTTTGCCAGGTATTTATGAAATTCATATCAAAGGTTTATATCAGCAATGTCTTGAACTTGATGTCAATCAACTTTTATAAAAACAGTTATGCCCTTGGAAATATTATTTGGAACTGTTCTTTTAATTAATTTTTGTGACTCAATTTAACAAAAACAAAATTACTTGTTTTATTTTGTAAAGTTTTGTAAAAGTCATCTCAAAAAGTTTTAACTGATCTGTCAGAAGTTACTTGACACATTTTCTAACATAATTCACATTTGGTTAAAAAACAAGGTCACCTGCTAAAGATTCATTTTTGCATTGCCTTCAACAAAAGTTGTGGATTGAGACATAGGAATGCCAAGCTCAATGCTGTTTCAGTTTGTCATATGCCCATTGTCCTTGAACTTTTGTCATTTTCATTGTTTAGTGACCATTGATCAATTTTAAGGGTCCATTACTCTCATACTATTTATGTCAAGAATAATGGGTGTATGGAATGATTGTAAAGTGTCGTGTCACCTTGACCTCATTTACATGGTTCATGGTTCATTTATCAATAATTAGTTTCTTATTTAGGTCATTTTCTCAGATGCTATAACCAATAGGAAAACTTTATTTAGTATATGGAATGATTGTATAGTGTACATGTCTGCCTAGCAGGATCCCTCAGACCTTGACCTCATTTGCATTGATCATTCATATAAATGTTATGTTTCTGTGCTATTTGTAGTTAAACCTTTATCTTCTCTGATTCTTCTCTATCTTTCAACATGAATTTTAATCATGATCAGACAGCAGGTGAGGCAATTCAATGTGTGCAATCTTGTAATAAATGAATGTTATTTGTAATAGTCGAAAGAAAAGTGTGAGGCATTAAATGGTCAGTGATAAACAAAAAGGGCAAAACATGTAGATACAACGAAAAAGGGGCATTAACTTTGATATCAGATGTAAAGATCAATTTTGACTTAGGTTTGTACATGTACATATAAAGAAAAAGGGGCATTTATTTTGATATAAGATGTAAAGATCAATTTTGACTAAGTTTTGTGCATTTATGAGATACTGTTGTGGATTCATAATTATTCGTGGGGTACCAATTTTCTTTGATTTTGTGGGTAAAGGAAAACCATCAATTTAAATGTCAACAAAATACATGTAATTTTTTCTACAGATTTACATACTCACTTTTGCCAAACAACAAAATCAAATATCCATGAAAAATAAAAATATCCTCAATCGACAGAAATTCCAAGAAAATAAATGAATCTACAGAAGTACTGGTATATATTGTAAACCAACATAATTTCACAATTTATTATTTTTGTGACTTTCAGGAGTAGAAAAATTTTGCAAATAAAAATGGTTTCGAAAATGTCAATCTCTAATCTGTCAATTTCTTTTATGAATACATCAATAATAATTAAAAAAAATCACTGAAATAAATCAAGGCCACGTCAAGTTAGAAATGGCCAAGTGCTTAAAAAATCTTTTTTTGTGAAAATAAGTTGGTTTACTGTAAGTGAACACATGGTTGAATATGTCTAGGTTTGACCTATTAGCATTTGCAATATTGTGTAAGAATATTCAGATTTATATATTAACTACAATGTTTAATCTGGAAAATAAAACATGAAATGAAAAATAATGGGTTTTTACTTAATAGCTACCATTTAATTTAGACGATTGTTTTCTTCAGCAAATTTCTATTGAACCTGAACTGCTATTTCCCCATTTATCAAAATTGGTATATTTTTCAAGATTTTGGTGTCAGTCACTATGTTTATTCAGAGTGGAACTTGAAATTTAAAAAAAATTGTATTGGTTAAAAGTTTATAGAATCTGAGGAATGTTTCGGAATTTCGTTTCACCATGTCAGATAAAGTCACGAAAAGACATGGAATTTTAATTTTGATAAAAAGACCTTGAAAATTCCTTACACTTTACAAAATTTTACTTTACCTGAAAGACATAGTAATCATATTTTATTATGCACCTGCTGATTATTCAGCAGATACCTAGAGTAATCACAATATGGGATTTGATGATTGTTGACTGTCCTACAGTGACATTTAGTTGCTTTAATTTACTTCATTTGGTCTCTGGTGGATAGCTGTTTCATTGGCAATCATACCACATCTTATTTTCATATAGTGGATGCTTCGGTCACAAATTGTTTCTGCTTTCTTAACTTTGAAACCCCTTCTTGAAGTTCTGTTATGAAATTTTGATTGATTAGTCACCACAACTAGATAAAAGAAACAGTACATTGAAAATCATAGTAAAACCTTAGTCATCCCTGTACACATGTAAACAATCCTTTCCATTCTCTAATGCATAAAAAAGGGATAACATGAATCACCAAAACAAATTTAAATATGTTAAGATATAGTTTCTGTTCCTGCTTTACACATTTGAGTTGGGTAAGACAATTGGCATTTAGCTTTCACAAATTCTAGAAATTGTGTACACTGAACTAAACTTTAGAGTTTACATACATGTACCAAATTTGTTTTCACTCTCTAACTTTAAAACCCTTTGAGTTTGGGACAAACGGTGGCATCATTATTCACCAGTAATAGATGTCCTTGGAGGAACACTGTACATGTTAAACTTTCTAACACAATTCTTTATATAAGTTGAATATCACTTTTATTAGTTGTGTATCAGTAAAATTTCTGCCATCCATAGGTATAACTATAAGCCACAGTGAAATAACTTGATTCATTTAAAAATTGCACAGATTACTGTCATGCAGCGGGACCCTGTGATGGCGTTCATCAATTTCCTTTAGTTTTGATACTTTTCTGAGTTTTAGTTTTGCTATCATTGTGTGTGTTGATACCTAGCCCTCTTATTTGTTGTATTTACATAAAATCTACCCGGAAATGTGTTTTTAATTATAGCGAGGTGTGTTAAGATGTTAATATCAGTGACGATACACCAATGCTGCAGTCCGTACTATGATAGACGATTGAAATCTGCATGTTTCATTAAAATAAAACATTTTCAATACATTTCCCCAAAAAATAACACAATTTTCAAACGGAAAGATTTATATTCTTTTTTTTTTTTTGGCAGTTTCGATATTCCATTCCTGAGGCAGTATAATCGAAGACAAAATATGTTTCTAATGCCTGAGATCCCTTTTCCTTTTTGGCACTAAATAAATTCGCAGTGTATTCTAAATGCAACATCGTAGCAAAGCAATCCCCACCGTGCATCAAAACGCTATATGAATTACTGTCATGAAGGATTAATTGATGATGGAAAAGTAAACATATTTCATTTGCCTTTAATTTTAGGTCCTTGGTGTAGATTTTGAGTGCGAATTTTGGAAGCTTATAATTAGCAACGTTGCGAAGACAACGCGTTAAATTGTGGATGCATTGTCTTCTCTTGCTACTGTTTCGTATGTCCTTGGGTGAAATAAATAATAGATAATTCATTTTGTTATTTTTAATGAAAATGTATATGCAGAGGCTCAAATATTACAATTAAAACAATGTATTCGCAATACTTTTCATAGACCTTCATTGTACGGAAGATTGAACATAAAAAAGTGAACTACTTTTATGTATTATCTACTACACTATAACTTCATCATTTGTCTTTGTTGAGTCTACATTCTTTCTCCTTCCTACCTGAAATATTAAACATTTTTTGGCAGTTTTATCTCTTCATTCAATTGATACTGTTGGAAAGCACTGCTTATTCTGAAAGACAAATGTTAGATATTTTGTATGATGTTAAAAATATTTCAATACAATTCCCACCTTAACTACTAATTCTAGCATCGATCTTATCTTGTATGTACCTCATTTGATGAGTACAAACTTATCTACTATATACAACAACTGTGAATACTATTTTGAAAATAAAAAATGTTGATTTTTTCTATTTTCTTTTGTATTAATTACCAATTTTTTGTTTATTTGTAATAACAAGAAATAAACACCAAACTTGCTTAAATTGTAATAATTATCATGGCAAAATTATGTATACACCTAGAGTAAAATCGAAATAAATAAAAGGACAAAACAAAACTGAGATAGCTAAATACTTTCATTTTTTTATGAGATTTTCTGTCTGTTTTAGTGTTCTTTATTAAGTCTCCCAAACGAAGTTTGGGAAGACTTATTGTTTTTGCTCAGTTCTTCTTATTATTATTATTCTTCTTCCTCTTCCTCTTCCGCCGCTTTTAAATTTGAACTTGTACGCACCCGTTCTCCAAAACCGCTGGTCAGATTAACTTAGGGTTTCACAATATGTTAGACTAACATGTCTAGTGGTGCAATCAGGGTTTTGTTTGTGCAATGGGGTTTATTAAGGGGTACTTTGAGGGGTAAAAAGAAAAGAGGGTTTTACTATAGAACCCTATGGGATTTTATTTTTTAAAATTTTCAAATGATTATAAATTGAAAACCGTTTGTGATAGACACAATCTTTTTAATTGAAAATGTTCTAAATGATAAAACCCATTAAATGAAATACAGGGTTAGTCCCAAGGGGTCATCCCCACCCCCTGCCATTTAAGAAAGTTCTAATACCTTGTAAGTGGTCAAGATCCCCACCCCTAAACAATATATATTCTGGTTTGTCATGCTAAGATGGTTTGAATGATATACAGGGTTAGTCCCCAGGGGTCATCCCGACCCCCTGTCATTTGAGAAAGTTCTAATATCTTGTAAATGGTCAAGATCCCCACCCCTAAACCATATATATTCTGGTTTGTCATGCTAAGATGGTTTGAATAATATACAGGGTTAGTCCCCAGGGGTCATCCCGACCCCCTGCCATTTGAGAAAGTTTTAATATCTTGTAAATGGTCGAGATCCCAACCCCTAAACCATATATATTCTGGTTTGTCATGATAAAGTACATGAAATGAAATACAGGGTTAGTCCCCAGGGGTCACCCCCACCCCATGCCATTTAAGAAAGTTCTTATTTCTTGTAAGTGGTCAATATCCCCACCCCTAAACCATATATATTCTGGTTTGTCATGCTAAGATGGTTTGAATGATATACAGGGTTAGTCCCCAGGGGTCATCCCGACCCCCTGCCATTTGAAAAAGTTCTAATATCTTGTAAATGGTCGAGATCCCCACCCCTAAACCATATATATTCTGGTTTGTCATGATAAAGCAAATCAAATGAAATACAGGGTTAGTCCCCAGGGGTCACCCCCACCCCCTGCCATTTAAGAAAGTTCTAATATCTTGTAAGTGGTCAAGATCCCCACCCCTAAACCATATATATTCTGGTTTGTCATGCTAAGATGGTTTGAATGATATACAGGGTTAGTCCCCAGGGGTCACCCCGACCCCCTGCCATTTGAAAAAGTTCTAATATCTTGTAAATGGTCGAGATCCCCACCCCTAAACCATATATATTCTGGTTTGTCATGATAAAACACATGAAATGAAATACAGAGTTAGTCCCCAGGGGTCACCCCCACCCCATGCCATTTAAGAAAGTTCTAATATCTTGTAAGTGGTCAAGATCCCCACCCCTAAACCATATATATTCTGGTTTGTCATGCTAAGATGGTTTGAATGATATACAGGGTTAGTCCCCAGGGGTCATCCCGACCCCCTGCCATTTGAGAAAGTTTTTATATCTTGTAAATGGTCGATCCCCACCCCCAAACCATATATATATTCTGGTTTGTCATGCCAAGATGATTTGAATGATATACAGGGTTAGTCCCCAGGCATCACTAATGCATATAACTTTACCGGACCAAACTAATTTTCACTGGACTTTGCCCAATGTCAGGCGACCCTGGGAATTACGAATTATGGGAGCTTCGTTTGGGAGACATTGTAACAGCATCCTGTTACAATCATTTCTTGTTTTTTTTGTTTGTTTTGTTTTGTTTTGTTTTGTTTTGTTTTTTTGTTTTTTTTTTTTGGGGGGGGGGGGGGGTAGGGGTAGGGGTGAGGTTATTAATAATAAAAGACCAAACAACACAAAGAAAAATAGTAATCTATCTAGTTTATCGTTTCATTTGAACCTCACATGTTATACAGTTTACCTTGACCTTCTTACATTGAAGGAAGTATTTAACTTATAGATACAGTTATATGCCAAAAAAAAAGTGTATAAAGGATTTTTCTTGAATCATTTGGAAATGGCATTTTCTCAACTTACAGTGAAAGCTCAGACACCAGCTGTGTGTCAGTTCTGTGAAGAGTCGTCAGATATACGGTGGAAATGTATAAACTGTGATGTATTTATGTGTCAAATTTGCACAACAAAGATTCATAGAAAAATTAAATCAGCCGAAGAACATGAAATTTTAAATCTAAAAGATTGCGGAGGTATTGACGCTGCACAGACAATCCGAAAGGTTGATCTTCTGGACATGCCATGTACAATTCATAGAGGACAAAAGTATTGTGTATTCTGCATTGATTGTGAGAAACCAGTTTGTGCAAGCTGTTTAATAGAATCCCATCAAAAACACAATTATAAAACACTGAATGAAGTTTATGATACCACTATTTCTAAAATGAAAGAATTGCAAAATAAACTTTAATCCAGTCAAGAGTTTTTTGACAATGAAAAGGAAAGACTACAAAAACTGCTACTAGATAGTGACAAAAATTTCCAAGAAATAAAAAATAAAATTTTGTTAACTGAGAA